AGGATGAAGCAGTGGACCACAAGGACAGTTTGAACCACAAGGCCGGTGGTTCAAATCCACCAGTAGTTCTTTGGAAACCCTATACAGGATCACTATGAGTCAGAACCGACTAGATGGCACTTAACAACAACAACAAATGTTATTTATCTCTGTTATACTTTTAGTTAGAGCTTTCACCCAACAGTAAGTAGATAACAATTTTACAAAATTTTAAAAGTACAAGTTCTAAAAACAATTTTGTGGAAAGAATTCCATTATCTTTTCAACAGAAACTCTACAGATAATAAAAATATTTACCTCTTTAATCCTCAGAATCACCCAGAAGCTACTGCGATATTTCAGGTACTTCAAACCTATCAGAAATTAAACATATTGTTTTAAAGTCATGCTAAAAGAGGCTTTATCATCCAGGTGATATTTTGAATTAAAGGAAATATTAAAGCAAAAAATAATTTAATGAGATAACTCTTATGCAAAAGACTTGCCATGTAGTTCCTACTCATGTTACTACATTCTTCAGCTTCATGAATAAAACCAATAGCGCTGGTCAAGGTCCACTCACAGTGACCCCAGGTGTGTTAAAGTAGAAGCGAACTCCATAGGATTTTCAATGGCTGATATTTCAGATACCATACCAGTCTTCTTGGGCTAGAACCGCCAAGCTTTTGGTTAGCTGCCAAGAACGTTAAATATTTGCAGCATCGGACTGCTATCTTAATGAAAACTAAACTGTTAAAAAGCAGTTACAGGTGCAAGCAATCCTTAAAACAATAAAGTAACAAACTAGATTCTAATGGTGAGCAGAGAGGAGACGATCCCTTTATGCATTAACAGGTACAAGACAATAGTATATTTAGCAGAAAGAACACACTCCTAGGATCAAACAATTTGTCAGCCTGTCCCTGGAGTAGCAATTCTGTGCACTGAATCACACTGCTGGGAGTGCCCATGGGCAGCCTTAAGGCTCAACAGTTTAAGGCTTCAAGCAAGACACCCAATATTTTGACTCATTCTTCCCAGTAATAAAATCACTGTTATACCCAAGTCCTGACCTTTGGTTACCCAAATAACACTGTCCTCAACTGAGCATTGAATATAACTAAACTCACAAACCCATAATAAAATCACAATAAACAATTATAATTCAAGTAATTATAAATTAACAACAAAATAAGACAAACTTCACAGAGACTAGCCTTTGGAGGAAAGGCGCTTAGGTTATGGGAAAAAATGTAAAGTTACCAGTTAGAAATCTGGTTTTTGCCAAGGGCAGGTACTTACCTGCACAAGCTAAGAGGGTGGAGGCTTGAAAGTACAACCCCAGGGCCTCGCAGTGGAGGCCTCTCCAAGCCGCCCCCGCCCCAGGGAGGGAAGCTTGCACTGCTCTACCAGGCTGGCGTTTTACTGGCTGCACTGCTTTCTCCAAGCACAAAGCAGTAGATCTCACGCTATTCTATGTCCCTTGATTGCATTTCCACAACTACATAGGATAAACACCTGACTGTGAACCACAAGGTCCAGCGGTTCGAGGCCACCAACCGCACCTTGTGAGAAAGAGGAGGCTTTTTGCTCCCTCAAATTCAAGCCTCGAAAACCCTATACAGGGTCACTATGCGGAACAGACTCGATGGTACTTAATAACAACAAATGGTGGCGGAAAGCGGGGTTGGAGGGTGAGGCAGCGGGGGTTGTAGGTCTTCCCTGAAAGATGATTTAAGGGGGAAGCCCAGAGCTGAGAGGGACTGCAGTGGGTGACATGAAGCACTTTGTGGCAAAGCTTGGAAAAGTTTAAAGAAAACAGCACACGATAGACAACATGCATGTGGGCTCGTGAGCATTCTGGACTGGCTCTCTCCACTTGGGCAAGAAAATCTCACGGTCAGTGTAAGACTCGGCTGTCTGCCCGGGGAAGGACTGCCGTGGGGTCAGCAGCCAGCGCCCTTCCCAGCTACCAGGGCGCCGTCCCGGACTGTCCCGGAGACTCAAAGATCCCAGGGACATCCCGCCAGCCTCCAACGCGGCGCCCCCGGCCCGAGGGCTGCCTACAAGCGGCCTGAGGGAACGGCTCCACCGCAGCCTGGGAACCCGCCAACGGCTTGTGCGCCGGAGACCCGGCATCTTCCCCCGCACCCAGCGAGCTCCCAACGACCAGCTGCAGACGCCGTGCGTCCGGAGCCGCGAGGGCCAGGGTGACTGCCCCACGCCCACGCCCCTCTCCCCGGCCCGCGGGGAGCATGGAGAGGCTGCAGCCAGCCGCGAAGGCGCGCCGGGAGCCGGCTGCTGGCCCAGCGCGCACAGGGGCGAGAAAGGCGCGCAGAGCGCAGCCGTGGCCGGAAGGGGAACCGGTGTAAGAC